ACATTTTGGTTTGCCTATGCAAAACGTGGACCGACACAGATACCTTCCTTATACGTTTAAACAAATACTCGTGTCAAAGTGGTAAAGATGGCATCTTTTGCTGATTTTGGCATTGATATCCTCTGCTTTTGGCTCTGCAAATGGGCTCGGGGTCTTAAGCAGGAACAAACCTCCAAGTGAAGAAGAAGCAGAAGCAGAGGAAAGAGGATGTAAAGCATGGCTTATCAGTCAAATGATTCTAAGAATAAAAACATCTGAAAACTTGAAACACAAATTAGAAAGATGTATGTCGTGGAGGCTGAACTAACTCCAAACAGTGCTTTGCCCCCTAAAGTTTTCCATGTGATGTCAGCCACTTGTTGAGTGTTAAAAAACACTCTTCAGCTAGAGAACACTGTATTTCCTTTGGCATTCCAAGCAGTTTCTAACCAGTGTTTGGAACTTGAAACCAGTGCCAAGCCTAAACACATCTGGTTGATTCCAGGCCACAAATAGCACTGGAATGCCTTCAACACCTTCCATAGCTGCCATACTTAAAAGTTTATGTCCAAAATAGAACTGACAAAGAAAAACTTATCAGTGGGATGCTCCGGAGTTAAACTCAGAAATGAGTCCTGTCGAGTACCATGTATCATAGCAACATACATGAAGCCACGTGCTTCTGTCTGCTAACACAAACTGGCACTGTGGAAAACTGAACTGAAAACCAACATTAGGAGAAGCAAGCCTATTCTCACTCACTATGTGTTGTTATAAGATTAGGAACCCATTCCACACACTTTAGCTATTCAATTATATGGTGATGTATCTTCTCAATTAGTGACCAAATAGCTTTCAAAATGTTATTGAGTACCTGCAGGGCATGCCACTATTAAAAAAAACATGCTGCAGACTGTATTTGTTCTCTCATTAGTGGTTTTTGTTTGATTGGGATGTCATTTAGTGAGGACAGATGTGGAAAGGCAAAGTATTAGAATAGGAACAGGTTATTTACCTGTAAGAGATGCAGTCAAAGAGATATGTGGTGGTGACTACATTTGACTGGGAACAAATTCCAGTCTACTTTCTTCAAGGCACTTGAAGAAAACAAGTATAATTCAAACCACACCAGAACCACTCCTTAAGTTTTGGGAAAGATGTTCTGTGTGAAGTAAACAGGGTAACAGAATTCCAATGGAATGCCAAGAGTCTGGAAAGACAGCATGCTATCCCATCTGACAAAGACCACCCCAGTGGGCTGGCAGTGTAACAGAAAATAGCAATACATCTGGGGAGCAGACACAAAGGTGTTGCACCTCCAAGGAGACTTCTAGTCAAGATGTCATGGATTGAGTCTGTCCTGTGGTCATGAACCTTCCAGAAAAAGATACTCCCAGGAACAGGGAGAAATGTTTTTAGCAGTAGCATTTTATTGACAGGGGCAAGATGGTGCCATGCTAAACAGGGAAGGTGGGTTCTAGAGCCTTTCTGTCTGGTTCAAATCACTCTTTTTTTTTTTTTTTTAACTGTGTGTGAATTCTCAGGCATGTTAAGCTCTCTGAAGGTCAGTCAGGGTCCTGGGAGGTAAAGATCATTTGGGGATTTCCCATGCAGACTAAGCAAAAGCAGTAAAGGACACAATGAATGCAGTGTTTTGAGTCAGGATTTCACAGTTAGCACTCAGTTGATGTTAGAGCATCTTAATCTTGCTATTTAATAATGTTCGATAATGTTTCAAGTTCGAAACAAGATGCATGATTGACTCAAGAGCAGAATACAGAGAAGAAGTGAATCTGAAAACAGAGAGAAATCATAGATAATATGTTTTCTGGTGCTTTAGTTACAAAGCTGTACGTGGGAGAAACTGTCACAAATCTCTTTTGGATGTCAATGTCCCATCAGTTCAGGGACCTAAAAAAGGCCATTCAGTTAGATGATTTCATTGAGAAAATGTGTGAATCATTTTAAATGAACATTACGCTTAGCATAGCTCCCTTGTTTCCAAAGGAACAAACACAGAGCAATGGCCTGAGAAACTGTGGGAATTCCAGGGCCTGTTAGAAATGCCCGGTGGATAGCTTGCTGCTAAACTATAGTCTGTCATATCAATACTCCATGAGGATACACAGTCAATTGCCAGAGACTGCATTTAGTAATTAACAATATGCTTATAGTAGAAATATACTAATTTCGTATTATGAATTGATAATCTAAAAGAAAATACTCAGCTATGATGTCATGCAAAGGAAAAATTTGGAGGCAAGGACAGTTTTGATGTGTATCTTGCATGAAATGCTCTAACATTCAGAAGTTTTTATAGTTTTAACAAATTCTACGTAAAAAGGGACTGACTTGGACACTCATTGCTTTTTTTAACTTTTTTGATTGTTTTAGCTGATTCAAATCAAGATGTTCTAGAATGAAATTTCCTCCTGAGCAAGATTCAGAAAATCTCCAAATACATATTGAGTGAGTCAACTTTTTAGGGTAAATTCTTTTCTCTGATATCTAGGTTCATGATTCATATGACAGGAAGAATGATAACTGAATCTAGTAAGTACATTTGTGAGGTAAAAAAAAAATTGTAACTGAAAAAAATGGTAATTTGCTTAAAACATAGACATTACCTACTCAAAAGCAGAAACATTTTTATTACTTTTCTAAATAAGGTAGCTTTAAAATTACCTGTCACAATGTTTCAACAGAAAAAAACAATTACATGTCAGATTTAAATCTTAGTGGAATAAAAATGAGTGTTTGACAATATCTAAGCATTTAAACATTTTTTAAAAAATTTATAGTTCTTGCTTGTGATGATTAACCCCACTGAAGTCAACATAAACACAGTTTCGTTCCACTGTGTCAGTCCCATGTCCCAAGAATAGCATTCAAGCACCAAGCTTCTGACAAAAAAAATTAACCATTATGACTTTGGTATTTGCCTAGAAAATAATTAAGACAGGTTGAGACAAAAAAGCATGGGATCCCAAGAATAAGTATCTCATAATTTTCTTTTTCAACAATTTTCTATGTTAAATTGTAAACAAATTGTAAATTGTAAATTGTAACAAATTGTAAATTGTAACAAAACACTTTATCAATGATACATTTGTAATCAACACATAAAAACCAACTAATGACTTAATTTTAATTCTCAAATTTGGAATCAATCAACCCCAAGAGTTCTTTCTTATAATATTTCTTACATCTTCCATCTTAAATATTGCAAGACTTTTTTCTTATAATATTCATAGTAATGCATTCTCAAAATATTACTAGTGCTTAAGGAAAACAAATAAAAAGCTTGTAGGGCCCCATTGTGACAGGAAAATGGAATCCACTTCCACATTAATCACAGAGATATAAAACCAATTAAAGAACTTGACTTGGATGGAACCTGCTATATGGACAGTAGTGATGTCACAAGATGTTTGGTCAAGAGACCAAAAAGTTAATACGCTGGGAAAGGCAAAAGGACAATACATCACCAGTTTAGAGAAATAATTGGATGATTAGCTTTTTGTTCCAAAGCAAAGTTTTTAGGCAGCAGATCTCAGATTTGATAGGACTAGTCATTTTAGTATTACTTTTGAAAATAAAATTTGCTTTTAAAAATGGAGTATATATATATTTGTGTTCACCAACTTTTGGGTCTCTTATGTATATGCCTGTGGTATTCATGGACTATCTAATTTCTAAGAAATAAATGTACTGACTGGATGTCAATGTTTATGAAAGCCCTCACTAAAATAAAAGTTTCACACTCACCATGTAGTGAAAGATAGAGTTTGCATATGGTCATATAATAAAACCAATCAGAGAAGGAAAGATGCCTTCAGGGATGTGTCTATTGTAGCTGAATAATGAAATACAAAATATATTTGAGGTTGATTAAAATCCTACAGAAAATTTAGGTATGAAAATATCTTTATTCTGTAAATGCTATAACAGGATTTGGTACTACAAGGCAGTATCTATAATAAGCGAAGCAAATGTAAGAAATTTTGTCTTTTCAAACATTGAATTATATCACACAAGCATAAAAGCTGTTTGAATTTGCTACTCGAGTTGGATTGTCTTTTAAGTATCATTAATTGAACTTTTAAAATGATAATGAATATTTGTAATTAAGAAAAAAAAAGGAAACTGGGTGTTTAGAGAAAGAGTACTATTATTTACCAACCTTGTCCTCTTTACAAACCCTCTCAACATTTCATGTTACTGAACTTGCTGTCCTGACCCCCAACTCTTAGACTGATTATGGTCCCTGGTGCTGCCAAAGGAGCTCCAAGGTGTGATATGGAGTGTCAGTGCATTTCCAAGAGTGCCTCCATTACCAAAAATGGTGTCTTTTATGTAGGAAAAATAGAAAAGGCAGAATTAACATTCTCTTTTCTTATCTTCTTCCTTCTCCTTCTTGCCTCATCAATGCTTTCCCCCCGAAAAGCATTCATGTTTATTTCTTTCTCCATATTACAATATCTGCTATAAAGTTTCTGGTTTAAGATGGATTATTTTCTTTGATTTTTTCCCTCGCTGGTATTTTGATTGAGATCCTACTGTCTTTGTTTTCTCATCAAAGTCCAGTAGACCAGGATACAGTTCTAGCAGATAAAAGCCAGAGATGGGTTAGGGACAGGGATGAGATTGAGTTACTTTGTTGTGCAGGGCCGAAGAAGAAGGGAGAGAAAGAACAGAGCTGCAGCAGGAGTATCTTCTTGAGGGTTAAAGGCAATATTGTTTCACATGATACCTCCTCTTTCTTTAGAAAAATGGGAAGTGGCATTCAGCCTAGTGGGGAGGATGCTGATGCTACACATTGTATCCCCTGGCTTCAAACACTGGATCCAGCTCCTGACTCCAGCTCCTGACTCCAGCTTTCTGCTAATGCAGACTCTGGGAGGCAGCAGTGATAGTTCACTCTCCACATGGGACATCTGAATTGAGTTCCTGACTCCTATCTTTAGATCAGGCCCTTCCTCAGCCACTGTAGCCATTAGAAGAATGAAGTAGTAGGTAGGAGCACTCTCCTTTTCTCTTTTAAAACAATTGAAATATATAACAAATAAAAAATAATTTGCTCTTCCGTTGATGTAAGAGTCAGGTTGCTGCCTTGCAATTGTTCCTAATTACTAATGCATGAATTGGAAAATAAACTTGTTAAAATGTAGGAGGTTCGTTTTAGTTTTTCAAATATAGGAAGCTTCAGTAGCTTATCCGATCTCTCACTTTTTAAAACAATATTATAACTTTTAATTGATTCAAAAGGTGAGAAATTTATTGTAAAACAAACAAAATCAATCCAAATCAGGGCTTACTTGAAACTGATTCATCATTGACTGAACTCAATATTAGGTTTTTAGGTATTCAGGTACCTCATAGCTTAAAAATTTGATGATACTTTCAGTAATTAGCTTGTGTGATGTCATTTCATTGCCCTGGTCATTTAAACATTCTCTTGATAGGATCTGCAAATTTTGCTTACAGACTGACTCGAAAGATATGAAGACAAGTACACTCATAAACACACGAATGATCCAATAAACAGGCAACAAAAAGTCCTACTGAGCTAGGCAAAAGCATTATTTCTTCCTTGTTGAAGGTATCAGCATATGCTGCATCTTATGTTGCACAAGTGTACTCATTAAATATTATGAAATGTACAGCAGGCCGGGAAGCTCTAACTAGCTAGTCAAAGTCACTCATACCTGTGTGTTCGTATTTATGTCGCAGAAGGGAACTGCTTTTCTGGAATGTCTTGTCACATAAGTCACATGCGTACATGCCACTCTCTGTCTTCTTGATCTTCTTTCGAGACAGACAGGAGTCGGAGTCTGTCATGTCATCTAGGCCTGACATGTAGTCTTGTGCTCCATCAAGCAATTCTCCCTGTGACATAATCACACAGTTCAACACAGTCTTTTCTCTTTGTGTTTACACCAAACAACTTTGCATAGGCTGACATCTGAAGCACCTCAGAAGTGCTTGGTATCAATCAAGCTAATGTTAAGATATTTTATTCTCCATGAACAATATATGAGATCTGACATTTCAACAAAAATATAAACCTTCTTCCCCTGAATGTGAAGCTTGTTGTTTTTCTAGGACAGAGAATGGTTAATTCTTAATTGAGAAACATATACATGTTTTTCTAAAATCCATCATTTTCTTTGTACCAGGAAAATGTCTGAGTAAAAATTAAACTTCAGAATTTGTGTATTTTCAGTGTGCTTAACTTTAGAAATGATTGGTAGCTGTAGAAACCCCATTTTAATTGAATTTTATATTTAGGTACAAAATGTTATTATTATGCAATCTATTTAAATGTATGTCTACAACTAAAAGCCTCAAGCAATATTTTTATATTTAATTTTCTAATTTGAAATAGGGAATATTAATAACACTTTTTATCAATGTTCTATCTATGTTAAAACAGCCTTCAGCATTGAGCAATAATGAATGTGGATCAGTAAATTATTAAATTTCTTGATATTTATTTTGTCTTGATCCTACGGAGTACAAACTTGCATGATAACATACATTTCCATTTGCTAGTCCACAGTTCAGTTTTCTTAGACTACGCTTGCACTAATTAATATTAGAACAGATTAAACAGGCTTAAAAACATTTACAAAGAGGGCAGACACACTGCAAATTGGAACACCAGAACAGCTGTTACAGAGGTGTACTATCACTTACGCTCCTATTTTGCAAACAGGGCATGTACTGCATAACATTAAAACACCTATGCTTTTCCATTTGGAAACTAGAGATTATTTGCTAGTTTGAAGATGAGGTAAGCAGCTGTGGAATGTACAATATGTGTTTTAACATATTCTTCAAAATTAACTGTTGCTAGAAAACAAAGTCCACATCAAATTTACGTATGTATCGTTGTAGCTTAGGAACATCTTTAAAAGCATGTGACTGTTACAAAGTACAAATGGCAGCACCCCTGTTAAGCCCTACCAAATATTGTTAGCAATGTGGATGAATCAATCTGAATAAAACCCACCAATAAATATTAACTTCTTTATCTTTTTTCTCAAGGCATATGTGTTTGCAGAATACAGTGTTCATCTATTCACTTTTCTTGACCGCTCAGTTTTAGGTTCATGTTAAACTTTCAGCTCTGCTGATTTTTTCCTCAAAGGATTTTCCCCCTATATGCGTGTAAACCATGAAATTTTCACCTCCTTTCTTCAGAGCACAAAGACATGTCTCATTACCTGAAATCCTTGTTTGCGCTGGTACTTCCTCCTCTGCTGCATATCAGCAAAGGTAGCTGCTCCAGTTGGGTAGGTATAGGCCATGTGTGGTAGGAAGCTCATCTGATCCAGTCCCGGGTATGGTCGGAGCCCAGGGATACTGGTTTGGACTGGTGGCATGAAAGTGGCAGGGGGAAATGCGCTTTGTGGTGGAAGAGCTGTGTACAAAGGTTTGGCACTGAAGGGATTCATGCCAAACACTGGGTTAGTGCTTTTGTTGTCCAGATTATTTGAATTTGAAAACTCTTTCTTGATAAAAGTCAAGTTCAGAGGCTCATCTGAGTTTTCAGATGATGAAGAAACACTGTTATGGTCTAAATTTATGCTACTAGCTTTTGTTTTGTTCTTTGTGGCTATAATACTTTTGGGTTCTTTCATTTGTTTTGGTAATGACAAGTCCAAAGGCTCAGCCTGGAGCTCCTCGGAAGAGAAGCTGTTTGGAGTGTATGAACTACTGTGGGAGTTTTTAGAAGATGTGGAGGAAAGATTTAAGGGAGAAGGAGTATTACTCCTTGAGTGGTCCAATTTTTCAACTGGTTTAATATTGGCAAAATGGGAAGGTTTAGTTAGCCTGAGAGGAGGATCACAATTCGTCACACTGTTGTGGAGTTCTGCTATAGATGGCGATGTTATGGAGTCCATAGGTTTAATGGGAGAGCGGGGCAGTAAAGAGTCTTTTGTGGGAGGGTTACTGTTGGGAGCTAACGGCTTGGAATTCCTCTCCAGTGACGGGGATCTGGAATTTGAATACTGATAGACTTTTCGTTGCTCAAACCATTCCTTCACAAATTCCTGAGGAAGGCCCACAGCGATGGAGATTTTGAGCAGTTCATCAGAGTTGGGCTCCATGTTCATAGCATAGTATGCTTTGAGTACAGACATGTGGTCCTTGTATGGGTTGATGGGGCTTGTCAGTCCTTTCTCAGAAAGTACCGATGACAAGAGGAGGGCTTTATTATCAACAAAAACTCCTGCCTTGTTGGGGACTATGTTTTCATGAGGTTGCAAGACTGCTTTGATCTCTTCATTCATCTTACAAAGGTAACGTTCATGCTGATGCAAAGGAATGGGGCCAGGAAAACTCTCTTTACAGAACTGGCAGGAAAATGGAGTGGATATGTTATGGTTTTCAATCATTTTATCATCGGTGACCAGATCTATTAAGGTACGCAGCTTCTCTTTTTTGATACTACTGATCTGTCTCCTTGAGTCAGTAGTCAAGCTCTGGAGGCAAGCTTTGGCTTCATTGACTTTTTCTAACGTATAGTCAATTATACTTTTAGTGGCACCGTTATGACTCACTACTGGAAGACCGACAGCTGGAATATTAGGAGAAGTCACTCCTTGTTCCTCAGGTTGAGAGCATGGATCCTTCATATGATAACCTTTCAACTTGGAAATTTCTTCAGCCTTGCAGTCCATTTTTTGCCGGGAAACCGTATTGTCCACAATCTGTAGAACCTTTTGTACCTCGCTTAGATTACTATTCATTGTGGGAAATCCAAGTAAAGGGGCTTCCATCCCTACGCCTAAGTGTTGCATTGGACTCTGAGCAGAAGGATGAACGCCTAAAGGGCTGGTGGCTCCAAGTCCACCATTCATAAAGGGACTAGTGCCACTAAACCCGTGTGTGGCCATTAGAACTTTATAGTCATTGAAGTCTAGTGGTTCTGTTTTAATTTTAAGTAAGCCTGTTTGCTCAGACATACTAAGTGGTTTTCCATTTTCCAGCTTGTTTCTTAACTGAGTGATGGCTGAATTGGTAGGAGAGGAAGAAACAGAATTAGGGGAAGAACCCGTCTTGATATTGTTTCTCATGCGGCCATTTACCGAGATTAAGCCAATGCACTTCTTGCTGCTGATGTGTGAACTGTAGGAACCCGAATGGGAGAAACGTTTCTTGCAGTTCGGGCACTCATAGGGTTTTTCACCTAAAATGACAATTAAAATGAATACGTCAGACCTTCGATTAAGTAACAACTGCAGATGTCTACCAAGATAAGATTCTGTGAAATAAAATGAAAGGAGCACAGGGGGATACCTCGGCATTCTGGGTGCTTAGGTTAGAATTATGTGACTGTAACAGTTTCTGGGCTTTATCTACCCTGGGAGGACATAATTCAAGATGTTAGCAGTGGAAGGTGAGGGCTATCTAAGGCTTTTTCAGTTAAGATCCCAAATCTTGTCTTGTCATCGGCAGCCTCCTATTTAAGCAGAGTGTCAGATTAATGTGTGGCCAATAACACAATAAAGATGTCACAGTATTTAAAGGGAAACACAGCCATGACTTTAATCAACTCTGTGGACATTCCATTGATTTGACCAATCCAACCAGTCCTCTGAATAGCATCCAATTTGATAATAAAATCTTGGCAGAGCTATCAAACTAGTTATAAAGAAGAAATCTCAGCGGAACGATATTGGTCTGTGATACAGAGCTCCCAGGAATCAAGTAACATTTATCCTGTGTGAGCTCTTATCAGATATTCTTCAACCTTTTCTTTCAGGGGTGGGGATCAAAAATGAAAATAATTCAAAATTTGCCAACTATGTTCCCTCAGGTCAAAATTATTTAATCTGGAGAAAAGATTTCTAAAGGACACAAAGGAGACTCTAGATTCCATAACAAGGATTTGTCGCGTTAAAGAAGCACAGTGTTTTCGAGGAACAAGCTTCTTGGTGGTGCTGAAAGTCTCATGGAGAGCCATGCAGCACACCTGGTTTACAAAATCATGGAGCCCGTCTAAAATCTACGAAGCTGTGCAGATTTTAAACAATCTTTAAAACTCAGGTAATCAACAAAATGTCAGTGTGAACGGCAGCATCTCGGCTACTCACCACTGTGAATTCGCAGGTGCTCCTTCAGATGGTGTTTATATTTGAAGGCCTTGCCGCACTCTGTGCATTTGAACTTGCGATTACCTGCTCCTTGGGTTAGCATTTGGTGCTGTAAGAGGAGAAAGACTGACATCATTTTTTTGTGTAGGAGGAACAAGGAAAATTCATTACAAGTATTTTTAAATGACCTCTATGTTTTAGGCCAAAAGGTTTGCGTGTGCTTATTTATCCACCCAATCTTTCAGAGTTGCAATAAAAGTGATAATGTTGGTAATAAAATTGGAATGAATTAAAAAAAAAGTGCTTTCACATGTGCACCCAACGCTTGCTTTTAAATTATTTCTGTAGTCTCTTTTCCAAAATGTGTGTTTTTTTAAAGCCTTCAGAGATGCAAAAGTATAATTATAAAGATGTTTGTATCTCTTTGTGCTTACTGCAAATTCTGAAGACTGAAGATTCCCTGTTAGGATGCAACTATTTTTTTTTTTTCAAGGAAAAAATAAACATTTTCCTGAAAATTCGGAACAGTTTTTTTTTTTAAGCCCACACACTTATAAAATACATTACCAAAATTTCTATATCAGGGTAAAAATGTACCTCAACCTAAAATAATCTGAATTTTTAAGAAGGGCAAAAAAAATCCCCCCAAATTAAAAACACACAAAACACCCTCGACTATAAATATTTCATTATACACAAAGCATGCTTAAATATCCCATTCACTTCACTAGCAGCAAATTTAAATTCCTTTTTTCCTGAGCTGCTCTGCCTATCGGATTTGATTCATTATCAAGTGTAAGAAACAACATCTTGGGTAATAGCTGCTTGAACAGTTTTATCACAGGCCGGTAAGAAAGACCTCAACGACTTTTCCTGTTCCTTTTTAGTAATGTGCCAGGGAGTAGGGACAGAAAAGAAAAAATAAGTTTGCTGAAAAGACAAGTTAAAAGCAGCAAAGATATAATCAAACACAGCTGACCTTTTTGAACAAGAGGGAAAAAAAGGGCGGTGTGACTTAGAATTCAGAAAAAGAAAAAAAATACAGTCATCCACTCTGGATACTCAAGGTAGGAGGTCAGCCTCTTTCAAGCAGCAATGACACAAAAGCCTTTTGCAAAAAAGACAGCACAGAAACGGTATGACAACTGCTAGGGTGTGCTGAATCTTCCCACATTCCTAGTGAGACAGATGGTGTTACATGGGACACAGGGAGGTTTGTTCAAACAGCAGCAACCTTCAAAGATCAAGCGGAGCCCAGCCTGCCGAGCGCCATTGAGGGACCAGCGCTCATATGTTGCTGAGTTGCATAAACAAACAGCAACAGCTGCTTTGTCCCCCCCACGGCCCTCAGAGGACTACTATAAACTTTAGTTGTGCCACTGTTAATATGATACAATCATTTTAATTTACTAATTGCAAATGCCATGAGCAAATGAGGGGACTTTTCAACACCAAAGCTACCATTCATAATGCGCCAACGCAATCACACTTCTGCATGTGAAATCTAAAGCAGTTATGCTAGATAAATATCTAGGTACTTTTTTTTTTTCCTAGAGATTTTGTGCATACAAGCAAGGGGCGATAAACTGTTACATAAGCAAAACTATGCAAGTGTATTTTTACAACAATCTTTGTGAAACATTCAGGTGACAAGCCCCATCAAACCTAAATGGAGTGATTCATAGGAATTGTTTTCTCAAAACAGTAAAATTCCATAACCTAGTAGCCTCAGCACTGCTTGATAGTGTTTGCTTATTTTTATTTTTCTCACTTAAAAAGAGTAGGATTCACAAGAAAAAATTATATAGAATATTGTGTCTAATACTCTTTATAATATATATAGCAATATGTTGCAACACATATTGCAATATGTGTATAATATACATAGTAATTCCAGACTTGTTGGGCTAGATACTGTGACTTGAGACACATCATTTCTGCTACCCCAGACGCATCATAGTATCAATTTGCAAAGTCAGTTCTCCCAGGAGAACAGCAGGAGCAGTTTTGCTGCAGCATTTAAGAAATCCTGTGATCAGCCTGTTCAACCATTTTAGGGATGTGAAGACCTAGGCTTACCTGCTCAAGACAGAGCCTAGCAGTAAGCACAAGTGAACCAAAAGAGGCACAGAGATTTTTAACTTTTAGCTGCAAATGTGCATATCAAGAAGGGATCCTTTTTAATGTGCAGCCAACATTTTAGGATTAATCCAATTTATTATATGTATGCATATATACTGTATGCCCTTTTGCTTTTCCTTAAAACACTTAATTTGATTTCATAGACCAGCAGCAGCTTGTAAAAATACTCTAAGTAATTGAAGGTGTTATGTGACAACAGAAGAAATACACACTTCTCTCAACTTAGAGTCCTATATGAAAAACATTCTAAGAAAATTAGGTGAAAAATGGAATTAAAATTGCTGAGATGTTTAATAATGTATAATTAAAATGCCACAATTTCAGTCACTTTTTGTGGAACATAAAAATGAAACTGAAGTCAAGTTAAAGTGCAAATAAAATTTCTAAATTAGAAATTAACACACTCATTCGATCGTGAACATAAGACTATTAAATCATATTAGAAGAGACCATCAAAAAATCATTTAGACCTCAATTAGAGCTATTACCATTAAAAGATCTGCATCTTCAAAATGCCATGAAAAATTAATAATGATTGCCAATCAAAGCAATATCGTTTCTCTAAGGGGTTATTATAGAAAGAAATCACTTAAAACCAACCCCCCACCTGATCTGTCCCTGGCTTGTGCGTCACCATATGCCGCTCGAGCTGGGTGCGGTAGGCAAACGTGTAGCTACAAAGAGGGCAGGAAAAGTTCTCTTCATTCTTCTCATGGCGGTACTTGATGTGCTCCTTCAGTGATGTCAAGCGCTTGTAGCCCCGGTCGCAGTAGGGGCAGGTCAGCAGTTGGGCAAAAGCATCTGGAGTTCCAGGTGGCAGGTCTGTAGCCGAGAGACGAGTGAGAGAGAAGCGGGCCAAAAGGTCAATAAATCAATGGCAGCTAATGGGCTGGCTGCCCGGCCTGGTATGACAGGAATCACCGCAATTCGCTCCACCAAAGCGCCATCATTGCAGCCAGCCCCTCGCACACCAGTCCCCATGCACACCCAGGACAGACTTGTCGGAATCAGCTCACACTGCGCTAGGAAATTAATTAATTACTAACTTGAGCTTTTTTGTGTGTGTGGGTGGGGTGCGGGGTGGGGGGAGAGGGAGGATTTAAACAGCTGATAAACTGGGGACATTCTCTTTAGGTGACTGACAGCGATGAACTCTGTAGCCGCACCCAGGTGTGGTCAGCAAAGAGGAAAAGGTGAGAGGGTCAGGGTGGCTAAACTTTATTCTTTTCTCAAAAGTAAAAAAAAATTCAGAAAGATAGGAATACATTTAGATATTTTTATCTGCTAGAAATGGGCTCTAATTGTTCTTGTTCTTTATTGGATGTACAAATGACACAAATTTGCTGACAAAAAAAATTTCACAATACCCTAAAATTACAGTTCTAATCTTTGCTCATGAAATTCCATGCCTCTGCAGCTGTTCTCCAAATTTTAAGGTAAACACCCAGGCATGAAGTGCATTTGTAATTGTAACAGCTGCAGAGGTCAGTGCCGTGGCTAAAAATGAATCACAGTCTCACCATTTTCTTCTTGCCCATTGGCCTCTGGCGTGCCAAGGCGAGACAGCTCCTCGGGGGCTTCTGGGTAAATAATGGCTGTGTCACTGCGCTGAAGGTACTCCTCAATACTGACAGCATGGCCATCGCGTTCCTCCAGTTTCCTTTTGGCAAAGAACTCCTCAAAGTCTGCTGTGCAATTTGCATTCTTCACTGGAATCATAAAAGGAGAAGCAGTGTCTTTTCAGGGCTGTCTACATCACTGTTAGGAAGAAAGGCTGACCTGTTGGAGGACTGCAGGCACCCGGGATTATTGGCCAGAGGTGCAAAACGTGAGCTAGTATCAACTGATGCTTATTCACAAAATACACGCTGGAAAGGACAGTGCTTGGCTTTAGGTTAAACACACCTGCTCTTTTTCTTTGTAGAACACCAGTCTGCATGATTCACAAAGAATGAAATAAATTCAAAAATGATCTTAGTGAAATATTTTAAAAAATAACATTCTAAGATCCATGAGTAATATTATAAGCTCAAAGCTGCCTTAGCTATCATATAGAACTTCCTTTTCTCTTGCAAAAGGTATATATTGATTGTTTCAATTGTCCACTAAGTATCCCTAATGACAGATGCATCTGGTTGTGAAATAAAAGCTTGAAACCCTTCACCTGAGAGTATCACAGATAACTGAGTCGACATAGTCCAAGACAAGAAAGCACAAACATTCCTGGAGAGAGAATAACATCACTTTGAAAAAAAAAAAAAAAAGAACCAGGGAACATGGCAGTTTATTTTATCCCATAATTTCAATGTTTACCTCAGTATCATAAAACTGTGGAAAATAAAATTAAAGTCACAGCTGATAGAAATAAAATAAAAAGTAACAGAGGGAGTTGAGAAATTGGCCATAATGCTGTGTGATTTTGATATGATTTTAACTTTTGCAATTGTGACTCAATTCCCACACAATGAATAATAGTTGTAAACCAATTTTAGCAACTTGTGTCACAGGACTTGTAAATTTGAAATCTCTAGTTGTGTTTCTGAAATTAGTTGTGGCTTAAATATACTTAGCAAAATCTTCTACGCATGAGAAAGAGTTGGGAAAGCAGCTGTTACATTATTCTCTATTCCAGGTAGATGTTAAGGGCTTCGCTAGTATGTCTAATGCTGACATGCTGCCACCATCATTTTCAGGAGCACATAACCCTGGTTGTTCTAGGTTCTTCATCCCTACCCTCTTTGCCAGAAGTGACACTGTATATTTTCCATATTAGTTGTTTTTGGCAAAGTTGTGGCAGAGGGAAGCTTTGGCAAATCAGTTAATGGTTGCTCCCTTTCACTGTGATGTATTTGTTGATCTTTAAACGAGAAGAATAGAAAGTGGAACCTTCCATTAATTCAGCAAGTATTTACTGAATGCCTGGTATGTGTGAGGCATCTTGTCTTGCTCTGGTAAGCAAAGAATAGATCTACTCTCATCTGTCAGGCAGCCTTGAGGAAGATTAATATAACTGATAGCACCTCAGAAATAAATACATCATTATGAACTTGAGTAAGTATTGCAGAAGAAAGTTGTACAGTCGTATCAAGAAGTTAACAGAAAGACACAGTGTGATCTAGGAAACATAAAGCTTCCTAACTTTATAACCTGGGGAAGAAGACTGTATGCAAGGATGTAATGACTGGAAAGGGTAGGAGATAATTTAAGATCCGAAAGGAAAGCACTGGGACCCAGAGAGTGAGAGGTGAGCCCCAGGAGAGGCAGGCAGAAACACAACATGTAGTGGGCAGGGTAATGTCCCATTGAGGATTTAATTTGGGTTTTTATTCCAAGAGAAACAGGAAGTCATTGAAGAGTATTAATCAAGGAGTGTGGTTGGATGAAATTGCAATGATTTGCATTTCTAATTGGCAGCACTGGCTATAGTGTATCAGGGATTAGAAGAAGAGAAGAGCAAATTCTGGGAAAGGCTCTACCAAGCAAAATATATAGAATAAGCAATGGTGACGAGATGACAAAGTAGCTGAATTGGAAAGATTCTTAAATATAATTCCTAAAAACTTGGGGAAAGACTGGGTTTGCTGAAACGCGAGATGCTAAGAAACCTCCCTCAGTTGGAGGATTTCCAGTCACCAAAGAAGGGAATACTAGAATTCTAAAAAGATTTGCAACTGTGGCCAAATGTGTGGTATACAACAAAAGGAAAATGGGGCAGTTATAATTGGTGAGATATGTACCAACACTCCTGAATGCTAGGAACTTTCCTTTTGGCCACTCCAACTTCTGTTGAGTTTAGCAAGAACAGCAGACAGATTCCCTCAGTATTAGGTTTGGAAGGTGCAACAGTGGAGTAAAACATTATATATTAAAATGTTGCTTTGATATTTTCCTATTGGGGTTTAGCAGAACAGTAACATTAGTTAGGGTCATTTTTGTCTGCTGTTCTATTGTAATGCCATGGATGCTTTCCAAAGGAGACTTACTGGCGGTGACTGTGATGACATCATTTAACCCGCATCATTGGGTCCCTCGGGGAGTATGTGAAAACTGCCAACTTGCACAAACCACTTGCTCATTGTATTGGCTCAAAATAACTTTAGATCTATCAAAACCGCCTTTTATTTTTAATGACAACAAAAATAAAGGGGACAAAATGGTGAGTTGAAGATCAACTTTTTTAAATAACTTGCTTGATTGTACCAGTAGCTGACTTCTTTTCTAGTACTATGACTGTCAAAAGTAATATAATAGCCCCTTTTTGAACTCATACCAAACTGAATGTATAAGACAAAAATTTTTTTTGAGAACAGCATCACACTTGATGACCTTAGTGTAACCTAGTAAACATGGATAGATGTACATTTAATATCTCAATTTTATCTTGATATTTCAGCAACTATTGGAATTATCTGGCTATCTTTGCATGAATTTTCATTTGCATATGAATGTTTCCATCAGAAATGTAATCAAATGCAAATTTAATTGGATTTGCATTAATAGCCTTTTGGCTTAAAAGGGAAGAAAATTCTGATTTTTTTCTGGATAGGCAAGCTAAACTGCATCTAGATGGACTACTGGTGTTTGGAGAGGCAATTCGGTTGCTAGATCAAATTTGGCTGTGCTGGATTTCTATGTCAAGGTTGATGGGGACAAAAGGCATCAAATCATACACTCTCATAAGGATAATCTTTGATCATTTTGAATCCTGAATACTGAATTTGTTGCCTGGAAATAAGGAGGCTCTTAAGAATCATTTATGAATGAATGTGCATAAATTATATTCTTAACACTAATCTCAGTGTAGAGCTCTTCCAGTAGAAGGAAACCTGAAATATGATATCTACAGTTGAGTAGAATACTCAGATAATTGCAGAACAATTCCATGAAAAACTGTATAATGCACATCATAAACACTTGCAAGGATTTGATGAGGCCATGTATGTGTCCACAAAGGGCTTGCTGAAGATGATGGCAATCACTTAAACCTATTTGCTCCAGAAGGATTTTGCTTTCTGTTGTATAAACATGCTATTGGTTATATATTTCATATATTGAGTTATATATTTCATAACTTTAGTGGGCTTGAGTTAAACTCTCTGTGAGCTAATTATAACTAATTCAGATATAATGTGGTTTGTTTCTGGGGTTACTGTTAACATTCAGTTTTCCACCCAGCACTACAACATTCTCCTTTGCCTGAGATTGGTTGTTTCTCTATTGCCAAGCACTATTATTGGTACTCAAAAGAACTGCTGTATTCCAGCATGAGCCTGCTCTCTGAGACACAGTTAATTATCCCTGCCCAAAGTTGGTCAGTCCTAGTACTCCACTTTCCCACTCAAACCATTGATTGGTTCAAGGGTAACCAATAGATCCAATTACATTCAGTATCTCTCCTAAAATTTTAGGACTTCATTCCCAAAACAGCATCAGGGAAATCCTCCTGCTCCTCTAGCAACTGTAGTTACAAAATAAAAAAGTAACGGCTATTTCCCATCAAGAGAAAGACGACTTATGAAGAAGGAAGGGCGCAAACAAGATGGCATTGCAGACAGTATTGTAGCTCTCCTCATTCCTGGGGCCATGCCACATCTTCCAGTGGCTCTACTGTAAATTCTCTGAAGAGTTTTAGAATCAAGCTTCCTTTTCCATTTGGTTATGTTTTAGTTTCTCTTTTTGTTGGAATCATGCCTTTATTGGAATGCTAAATTAATATAATCTGGTACACCACATCATATCATTTTTTTCACAATAATTAGGTCCTACCTGATTTCACAGTCTGATAAACTGTGTTCTTTCAATACCAGCATCCAATTGACTTGTGGATGTAGGTCCAGCCTCATATCCTGACATCAGCATACCCTAACTGCTGTCATAGTGCTAGAATAAATGATGGGGTTAAACTCTGACTCTACTCAAGATTGTTGAGGAAGATGAAGTTTAGATTGTATTTGGAGGTTTGTGTTTTTGTTTTCTCAAAGATTTTGTAATATGGTGGAGTGGACAAAAGAATGAAATGGAAAATTTGCAAGAAAGTTAGAGAATTCCCTACTGCATTTTTGCAGTATAAAATCAACCTCATTTCCCTCCCCTCTGTAATCCTCTTCATTCCCTGGTCTCCTGGAAGAACTGCCAAAATACACTGACAAAGGATATTTGCATGGTATTTATGATCAAACCATAACAAAAATTCACAAAAAAATCTCAAGTAACGTCTCCTCACACCTCCTCCAGAGATTTTGCATTTAGTCCTAAAATTTACCCTAATGTCTTGCAAATAGTTCAAGCTTCCCTAAGGTCAGGTGCATTTTCTCTAACCCCTCCCCCCCCAAAAAGAACTTCATTAATTAAAAATGCTGCCCCATGGCCACATATGTTTTATTATTGTTACGATAAATTTCTAGACCCCTTCTAGTTAAGGAAGCACCAGTATTGTTAGAAATAGGTTAGTCTTTCCTACTAATGTTTCTAAAATATAAATAATAATTTCATAAATTTGTTTATAACTACTCTTGGTAGATATTGATGTTTTAGAATAGATAATGATAAATATCAGTGCAGATTAACTTTAAAAAATATTGACTAAAAACAGAAAACGTTAACAGATTCCTGAATCAAAAAATATTAGTCCCCAACTTAGCACCCTATAATTCAGTTGTTTCAGGATATTTACTGAAAGACAATTAAAAATGGGTTTTCCTTAGTGTTT